TTCCGTAAGTATTGGGGGCTGGTTCTCTCTCTCATCAAAAAATAAATTTCTTATGTAATTTTTCCAGGTATCATTGATACTCTCTTTGTCCACGATTATCTCTCCATTGTCATTAACAAGTTTACTTATTCTTCTGTTTTTACATTTACCTGTAATTTCTCTTACCTTCTTATGCACGTTGAAGTCGTCGTATTTACTTTGGGGAATTCGATTTCTTGGCATTTTTTCTCCAGTTCTTTCTGTTTGGCTTCTCTGATCTTTCTCTGTATCTCTCGCTGTAATCTTTTATACATGGAGTTATCGTTCTTGTTTTTCCTTCTTTCTTCCATTAGTTGCAGAATCTCTGTCGTCATCCATGTCTTATTCTTACCTTCTTCGTTCTTCATAAAATTGTCTTTAATGTCGTCTATTGTTTTCTTAAGGGATTCTATCTTATCTTCTGTGCTTTCCGTTGTATTATAGATTTCTTTAAATTTTCTATTTAATGTTTTGCTGACTATTTCTTTTACTTCGCTACATTTCAGTTTTCTCATGTCATGTTTTTTTACAGTTTTTCCGCGTATTTTCTTTAACTTAGTTCTATACACGCCCACTAAAGGATTTAGATAGTTACAAACTAATATTAAGTATTTTCACAACAGTATCATTACTCATATACACGGAACTATTCCGCGAATAAAATCTTCGGCGCCGTTCCCATCTTTATCAGGTACTTGACAACTTAGATGGTACGACCATCGCATCGACGGCGGTACTCTACTCGAACTTCGAACCCACCGGTCGCCGCTGCAACGAACGATATCGACCGTCGACAGCTCATTTAAAAAAATTCGAAAAAATAGCAACAATTTATGGGTTTAGAATAAATGAAGGCTCCTCAACGGAATATCTCGAAACCAAATATTGTACGATGTCATTTTGTTATAGAAAATATTTTATTGACAATAGCGAAGTGTTGGAAATGTTTATAATAATTATCATAATTTATTGTAACTGTTTTTGTTATAATAAAAACGTCTTTATTAAAATTCAATGTTTAATATCGTCGTTCAGATGTCAAAATTTTGTATCTCAAAATTAGTGTATTTTGGGAAATCACCTAAAACTTCCCATAGTAGAAAATATAACTTGTGAAAACGGTTTAAAGAGACTGCATGTGATTAAATTTTTTAAAGTCTTCTGTAATGGGCAAATGGTCATTATACATTTTTCTTGCGATTCCTGCATTATTCGTATTTTTGCGAACTGGTAAAAAACTGCCACTCCTCGTCAAAGTTTAGTTTGAATTGGATAGGAAAATCTCTGGAATACCTTTAGAGCCCTCAGATTATTCAAGCATGCATCTCCCATTTTTTCCTGGACGAATGATTGAATAATACTTAATTTCGGAATAGTCATTAAAAAATTGGTGATCAATATATTTAACTTTGTATCCACATAATTGGATGGTAATAAATACATTTATTTTTGTTCTGTCTTTCAATGGTGGACTGTATCTTACTCCATTTGTGAGTGACTCTTAACTAAATTACCGTTGCAGAAATACTGAAGTGCATTAGCCAATGTCACGTTGTGACTTTGTGCAGAACATTCATCGCTAAAAAAAAAACAAAAAAAAACTCGAAAGTTCTACAGTTTAAGCCAAGAATAAGGAGCTGTAAGGATGTAGAAGGAACATCCTAAATGATACGGCCTCAATCCTAAACAGATGGGTTGAATTTTTCGATGCAAAATTTAATGGCCATCATATCGAAGAAGCAGATAACACCCTAGCAAATCGAAATGATTGGAATCCTTTCAACCCAAACGAAAGACCACCTACCATCGAAAACGTTGCCCAAGCCATTAAAAAGCTTAAAAATAATAAATCACCAGAATTGATCAAATTTGCAGTGAGCTCTACAAGAATGGTGGCGATGCCCTACTACAGACACTGCATAAGCTTTTACTTCTTGTTTGGCATAATGAGACCATGCCTTGTGAATGGTCTCAAGGCGTGATATGCCCGTTACATAAAAAAGGTGACCAGCTCCAGTGTGACAACTATAGAGGTATAACCCTGTTAACAACTGCTTACAAAATACTAGCAAATATTCTCTACGAAAGGCTGCAAGTTTACACAGTGGGCATAGTTGGTAAATATCAAGCTGGATTCACTCCAAAAAATCAACAATTGACCAGATTCATTCAATAAGACAGATTCTCGAGAAAACATTAGAATTCAATATTGAAACCCATCACCTATTCGTCGACTTCAAGGCCGCATACGACAGTGTCAAGAGAACAGTGCTATACCAATCAATGCATGAGTTTGGTATACCAGAGAAACTTATCCGACTAACGAGAATGACAATGTCTAACTTAGAAGCCACTGTTAGAATACAGGGAGAGAATTCTAGATCCTTTGAGATAAAGGATGGACTCAGACAAGGGGATGCTCTGGCTTGCCTCCTATTTAATATTGCCTTAGAAAAGGCAGTCCGAGATACACGAATTAGGATGGCGGTACTATTTACAATAGATCGATACAAGTCTTAGCATATGCTGATGACATTGACATAATAGGGCGTAGCAAGCGAGATGTTGAGCAATATCTCCTAGAATTGGAAACAGCGGCGAAACAGGTCGGTCTAGTCATCAACGAAGACAAAACCAAGTACATGTTGGTTACAAAGGATCCGATAGCAAATGAGGAACGAGAAACAGTGTTTGGAAGTCATACCTTTGGACGTGTTGACAACTTCACATAACCTTGGGTCGCTATTGACTGCTACCAATAAAACAAGCGAAGAAATCAAAAGACGAATAAATCTTACAAATAGGGCATACTATGGACTCCAAAAGCATTTCCACTCAAGAAACATTCAAGAAGAACTAAAATTATTATATACAAAACATTGCTGAGGCCGGTCCTCACATATGGAGCAGAAACATGGACTCTAACGCAGAAAGATGAAAGACTTTTGGGAATATTTGAGCGTAAAATACTCCGCAAAATATTTGGAGCTATAAACGACCAAGGGCAGTGGCGCAGAAGATATAATTTTGAATTGTATCAGCTCTTTGATGAGCCAGATGTCATAAACGTTCATTAAAACACAGCGACTTAGATGGGCTGGACACATAATACGAATGCCAGAAAATACGATTGCTAAAAAGCTAACCACAGGAACACCTGTAGGAAGAAGAAGCAAAGGCCGACCGCGAATTAGGTGGTTAGATGGAGTTGAAACCGACTTACGGATATTAAAAATCAGAAGATGGCAACATGTTGCCAGAAACCGAACAGAATGGCGACGAATCTTAGAGCAGGCCAAGATCCACGAGGATTGTCGAGCCAAAGGCGATGATGATGATGATCCATCGCTATAAAAAATTTTTGGTTTGTTCTTTTCTTGGGCATCTAACTCTTCATTTAAAGAATTACTTAAAAAAGATATAAAGGAGTTGGCATCCATGTTGCCCCCTCCCTCATACCATATATAACAAACTATGAAATAAAACCAAAGAAAAGATCTTCGTCTGGGGAAAAGCATATTTTGGAAGAAGTAGAAACAAAGAATCGTCGCAGATGCGTATTTTGCTATAAGAATTTGTCCGAAGAGATCAACAGAAAGTACGCGACTTCCAAAGCAACACAAACTAGATGAAAATGTGACAATGACAAATGAAACAATGTGACAAATATTCTATTGTGTAAGTTGTTTCAAAAATGTCCACAATTGTACTCTATAGGCGTTTATATGAAACTCCATACAAACACTTTTTCGGTATTATATTTATATTATTCTCCTAGTGAGCAGTTTCTTATATTATTGAAGAAATAAATCATTTTGTAAAACTAATGTGTCTATTACCTTTTATTTACCATATTATCTAGAGCAGTGTTTCCCAAAGTGGGGGTCGCCATGAGGTACTAGGGGGGTCGCCGAACATTCCCAAAATAAGACAAAAGCATACACTTTGTTAGATCATGTATTTTTATTTTAACAACGCCGTAAATAGAAATTAACAATTAATTATCAGACGAAATACAAAACTAAATATTAAAGTCCGTAAAAATAAAAGAGTAAAACAAGTCAAATATCATAATCTTAATGAGAGCTATGCGCCTGTTTCTGTGAAACTAATCTTTCAAATCTAGGCTGTGTATTTGAGACACACACAATTATATCATTTTTAAGTACGAGACGATTTCTAACTCTTGTTTTAATGGCAGTCATAGACGAGAAACTTAACTCACACAAATATGATGTTACAAATGGAACCAAACATTTTACAGCTTCACTCGCCAACTGGGGGTATTCCTGCATCTTTTCGGTCCAAAATTGGTCCGAATTCTGGGAAAAAAATTGAAGCTTCAACATTCCATCACTTGATATTTCAATAAGTTTTTCTTTCATGTTTATTGGTATTTCAACATGCTGAAAGGAATCGGCTAAAAACGGATTTAGTATCCATCTGCAACTGTTTTGAATTTCTTCGGGGAAATAATCACAGAGCTGTTGTTTTAAATTGAGCAAAGTACATGCATGTCAGCAAAAACTTGTTCAAAATTTGTAGCACTGTAATTAGATACATTTTCCATAATTTCCTGAAGGCACTGGAATCAATCGAGTTGTTTTTTGTCAAGTGAGGTCGACCATAAATCGATTTTTCTTAGAAACGCCTTAATTTTATCTGTGGCTGTAATTATATTAATGTCGCGGCCGTGTAAATTACTGTTCAAAATATTTAATTGCTCGAAAATATCAGCAAGGAAACTTAGTTTCAGAAGCCAAATAGGATCGGAAAATTGATTTTCATATGGGGACTTCTCATCTTTCAAATACATTAAAAGCTCTGCTCTTAAGTGAAATACTCGTTTTAAGACGTTGCCCCTTGAAAGCCACCTTACTTCGGTGTGCTAGAGAAGATTTTCAAATAAAGCACCCATGTCTTCGCAAATTTTTCTAAAAATACGAGTCTGCAAAGCTTTTCCTTTAATGGAATTTACAACTTTAATGATGGATTTTCATAACACAGTCCATTTCAGGAGGTAAAGCTTTGGACGCAAGAGCTTCTCGATGTAAAAAACAATGTCTCCATTTGGTATTAGGCATTATTTCTTGTAATTTGACGACAAGGCCAGATTTATGTCCTGTCATTGCTTTAGCGCCATCTGTGCATATAGCAATACATTTAACCCAGTCAATATTATATTTACTTGTACATTTCACAAAAGTGTCGAGTAAACATTTTCCAGTGGTATTGGTCTCCAATGGGAACAAAGAAAATATATCTTGAATGCCATTTTGTATGATATCTTACAAACGTAATGAATTGGGCACAGTTAGATATATCTGTGGATTCGTCCATTTGAAGAGAGAAGTACGTGCATTTATTAAGATTTTCCACAACTTGCGCTTGAATATCTTCTGCCATATCACTAATTCTTCTTTGGATAGTATTATTTGACAGAGGTATTGTATTGAATTTTGCACCCTCTCTTTCCCCACACATTATATGTACCATTTCAACAGCTGCTGGAAAAATCAGATTTTCAGCAATTGTGTGCGGATTACTAGTTTTGGCAACACGATAAGCAACTTTTTAACTTGCTAATAATGCTTTTTCATTAGTAGTGGTTGCCAAGGGAAAACTGTCTTGCTGGTTGTGAAGGATGTTCAGCTTTCTTTCAAATAATTCTACGGGCTTTTCTTTTTTATCTGGATGTTTGCTATTTAAATGTTGAAGTAACTGTGATGGCTTCATGCTTTTTTTTGACAAGACTTGTCCACAAATAACACATTGTGGTTTATTGGAAATAACGGTAAAACCATATTTAAGATATTCATCAATGTAGAATCTGTCTTTCTTTTTATCGCTGCTACTGCCACTTTGAGACGTAGATGGTTCTGCACTTCTTTTTAAAAACTTATCCATAATTTATAATTTATCGTAGACGTAAATACGTAAACGGGAATACGTAAGTCGTAAAATATTACTCATTACTCAACACCGCGTTCGCCACCATAGGCTGTTTGGATTCGAACTGAGGTTTCGTTGCGCATCGCCGCTTATATAAAGCCAAAACGAGGCTACGACAACGTTCCAGAGTGCTATCTAGTAGCGAGCGCTTCCGCGATTATCATGGAAGAGTTTTGCGATGTAGACAGAAGCTAATATGTCGCGGTGTACAATGTGCAGTCGACTTCTTATTATTTATTTTTATTGTAAATGCTATTCTGGCAGAAGTACCTACTACTAATTACTAGTGGGACAGATCGCAATCATTAAAATAATTGTATTAAAATAAAATAATTGTTTTAGATTTAAACAGTAAAGTAAAATTAAATTTGAGAAACCATCAGACAATTAAATAAATGAGTGGGGGGGGAAATTGGGGGGTCGCGAACAAATTTTTTAGCAAAAAGAGGTCGCGGTTTAGATAAGTTTAGGAAACTCTGAATCTAGAGTCAATATTGGTGTGAGAGGGCTAGAAATGAACAACCATAAGTTAGCCAATATCGAGCGCGTTTTATTACTTGAGCGGCCGTGCTACATCAAAAATAATTGTGATTGAGGGGCGTACTAACTGTCAAACTTCCATAGACTTTATACATTGAACGCATCACAATAGCGGTCGGTGCCCACAGTATATACAATACACGAAGCAATTGTGATTCGCGCGGTCCTGTAAGTAAAATAAGCGTGAATCGTAATGTGATTCGCACGGCGTTCAACGTGTTAAGCATTAACTACTGTTATACAATAACTACCACAATGTTTTCGTTACAACACATTCTACATACTTATACATACTTATCTTTTCCTACAAGAAATACGTTATTTGGAAAATGATTTCATTTAAGAAGTTCTTTTACAAATTCTCACACTCTTTTCTACCGAATCCGTTCTCATTTAGTTTTCTACGCAGACGGCAAAATAGTGATAACTATATAAAGTCTCAAGCTATATTTTTTGATGTTGACTTGACGAGTAGTACGGTTTTAACCGGTGACGTGCAGCCAAAACGAGGTCCTGCAATTGCGCCCTAGCTCGCCATCTCCACTTAACCTAATTATTTAAGTCGGCTCGCTCAGTATACCACTATGTTATGCTTTCTACGGTATATCGTCGTTCAGATGTCAAAATCTTGTATCTCAAAATTAGTGTATTTTGGGAAATCACCTAAAACTTCCCATAGTAGAAAATATAACTTTTAGAGTTATTTTTTTTCTGAAATGTGGGTAGTTCCACGAAATGAATTATTTGTGATAGTGATTAAACTCGAAAAAAATAGACTTAGATTTTTTTGGAAAAAAATCGTGAGATACGAGTTTTTGAAATTTAAATTATATTTAATTTCAGGTCTTACGAGGTTTTGGTAGCATATTTTCAGCCCTCTTACTCCTTTTTACACGCAAAGAACAATATTACAGAAGAAAAATAAAATGTTTATTCTTTAATAAGAAATAAAACAAACATGTTACATAAGTACTCTGATATAAAATTAAATAAACAAACTATTTTCCATATTTTGAAAACCAAAAAAAAAAAATAGTGGTTCAACGAATCATAAAAACCATGATAATCTGGGTGAATAACAGTCTTAAGAGACTGCAGGTGATTAAATTTGTCTTCTGTAATGGGCAAATGGTCATTATACACTTTTCTTGCGATTCCTGCATTATTGGTATTTTTGCGAACTGGTAAAAACTGCCACTCCTCGTCAAAGTTTAGTTTGAATTGAACAGGCAAATCTCTGGAATACCTGAGAGCCCTCAGATTATTCACGCATGCATCTCCTACTTTTTTTCCTGGACGAATGAATGAATAATACTTAATTTCGGAATAGTCATTAAACAATTGGTGATCAATGTATTTAACTTTGTATGGATTTACTGTGTATGTTTTCTGTGTATATTTCTGTGTAATTACCGTATCATTTTCGTTGCAGAAATGCTGAAGTGCATTAGCCAATGTTACGTTGCGATTTTGTGCAGAACATCCATCGCAATAAAAAATTTTTGGTTTGTCCTTTTCTTGGGCATCTAACTCTTCATTTAAAAAATCAATTACACAAGATGTAAAGGAGTTGGCATCCGTTTTGCCCTCTCCCTCATGCCATACATAACAAACTACCTTATTGTTAAATTATAGATGGTGAAGTTATGGCATGCTAGTTTCTGTTTAAAGTATACCATACCTGCTGGGACCACAGGGACAAGTTGGACCGCTTGTACATCCATCGTAAATACGCACACTTTTCCTTCCAACGCATCTTCTTTATCCTTTATTTTTTCCTTTCTAGCCCGATTTTTTTGGCTAATATGCGATTCATAATCTTCTTGCTTTACATTGCCCAGTTTATGCGAAAAACATAAATCACACTGGTCCTTCCTTGGATGATACACATCAATGTTTGTATTTGTCATTTCTTTTGAGAAAACATCATATCCGACAGCAGATTGTGGTTCATAACTTTTGTATACGTCATGCACTTCCTTATATGATTGAAAAGTTGTTTCCAAATACAGTTTACTCGTTGATGAACGGCAATAATGGGAGGGCATCTTTGGCAGTTTTTCAAGGAATGCTTTAGCTTTATTTCTGCGTTCAATATTGACAGATTTAATCTTGGAAGGAAAAGTAGTAGTAGTTAGCTTTTGGGATACCAGCGTCACAACTAGTTGTCACCCAGTTTTGAACACTCCATTCACCCAATCCTAATGTGGAGAGAAACATTTTCTCGCAAACTGGAATTACGGTATTATCTATTTTCAAATGGTAAAATAAACTTAAATTACGCCTTGATTTATTTTGTGTTCTTTTTTGCACTGTTGGCTGTTTATTAACTAGCGTACACGCAAATATCTTTCGTTGATGCCAATCCATTACAGACCAAAACCCATCAAAAATCTTCCTTCGTTGCTCATTAGTTATCATTGAACATCTCCTTTTTTCTTTTGCTGCTAAACACTTTGCTGAAATACATCTTGGTTTCATTTCCCGGGAGTTTTTCTTTATGGTAACTATAGATCCATCTTTCTCCTTCTTTTTTGCTCTATATTTTTTACCACGCATTCTAACATTTTTGTTCATTTCTTTCCCAAGTAGAAGAATCTGCTTTGACTTTTTTGCTACGCCTTCTCTTCTCATTTTTTTTTCTTCTCGGAAAGCGTCTGCTTCTTTAGGCGTCGCTTTAATTTTTTGCGTCTGGCGACATTTACAGCTTCATCTTCAGAATCCGACGAACTATTTGGATGATAACTTGACTCTGATACTTCGAAAGGTTCTTTAAATTCAATATCGGTGTTATAGTGTCGATTTTCTGCAGCTTCACTGATATTTTCTATATTCAAAGTTAGATCCCTACTGACATTCTCCACCTGAGTACTGTCCTTGACATCAACATTCATACCATTATCTTCTATATTAATACTAGCCAAACATCTGCTTTGAGTGTCATTTTTTTAAATGAGATTCTGTTTGTTTAGCAGTACTCTTTGGGTTCAAAATAATACAGAAATGTACTTGAATGTTTTGTGAACAACCTGATGAAGAAGGAGTGTGCTGGAAACTCAAGGATTATTCTCGAAAGATCTCATAAACTTGTTCAAAGCCTATATTTGCTTTTTTCCAATCTTTTACATGACGGCTCTTAAGTTCTGCGACTTTTATCTCTTTTTCTGCGATCTCTTTAGAATGTGAATTTTGATTGGTAGTACATATGTACTTTCATTCTGCTCAATATCAGAATCAGCTTTTAGACTTTCTAGTGCTGATTTGACCATTCTCAAAGCCCGACTTGCCTAAAAATAAAACAAAAAATACTTATTTTGTTTCCAAAGAAACCTCGTAAATCAATATTGTAAATACTTGATTATATTTTGATAGGTAACTAAACCTCGTATCACAATATTTTTCACTTAAAAATATACTCTAATACATTATTTTGGAAATTCTTGTACCAACTGATAAGTTTTTACTGTTCCTGAATTGATTAATATAATTTGTTTCAGTTGATCACTTGAAATATAATAATTGGGTCATCATAACCTCAAATTTTTTGGAACAATAATAGTTATGTTTCGTGTTTAACGTAAAACAATGCGTCTACGTATTATTAAAACAAAGTATTTAGATGTTTTCACTTACCATAGCTTTTAATAAACAGTTTTAATTCTTTTAAACCTATATAACTGCACAAAACTGTTCAGTATTTAACAATTTTTCAGACATGTGTTGACTTACGTGGTTTCGTGTACAACATGTGAGATACAAGGTTTCTGAATTCGAGTGACAGAGGTGCAATTTTACATGCTTTGTAATAAGAGGTTTCTCAATCGATGCAGCTCGATTTCCTAATATAGGCCACACAAAAAACGCAAAACCATCGAAAATTGAGATACGAGGTTTTGACATCTTAGCGACGATATGGGATAAAATCTTTTGGTTTTATGCACGATATTTACTAAGCTACCACGTCAAATTAACTATCTCAATCACGGAAATCGCCTATTTTTTACAGTAAACTGTGAATATCAATTATTACAAGTTCTCATCAATGTTGTACTCCAAAACAAAAAAATAACAATGTAATGAAAATTAAAAATTAATAATTGAAAATTTGATGTAATATTTTTAGACTTTAAAAATACAAATCTTATTTTTGCACATTATAATACAATATAGAAGGAGAGTATATGAGAGTGAAAAATCTAGGAGTTGATAGATACCTGGCGAATCTTTCCTTGTCTTGGATGTTTTCGTCTTCCATTCTCGTAAACTTACTGCCAGTTGGGTCGTCTTCATCTGATCTGCAATAAAAGAGAAATATAAACGAATGATACTGAAGCATTCAATAAATTCTAAATATGTAGGTATAGCTTCTCGGAATTTTTGTACAAAAAAATCAAATATAACGGAAAATGGGAGAATTTGACACAATTCGTGAACATATTTACAATAAGAACCTATGCTCGAAATATTTGAATTTAACTACAATCAAACCTTTCTCACACAAGTCATCCATCTTATTATGCTGGGCTTGAATCTTTATCTGCTTAATCAACTGTAATAATTGGTATTCACCTTTAACTGTAAAATGTTTCTGATATTGTTAACATATCTGTCTTTTTTTCGTTTTTGACCCTTTGGACTATTTCTTGCCAATTTCTTTTGTCCTGTATTGGATAATGAAAAGACAGTTTGTACGCCACGTTACTGTGAAATTAATAAATATTAACTTTTTGATAAATTCACTCGACCTAACCCAAAATGTATTTAAAGTGTGCGGTAAAAATTTTAGTCAGTGAATTCATACAATGATAAAAATTCCAACACAACTTCAATAGACCACTCCATAGTAAAATTACCATAACACTGACCGTACCAGCCCCTAGCCTTGTCGGAAGGGTTGGTGGGGTAAGTACCTAGCGTACATCAGCTTCCGAGATTCCGTTGAACCAGGATTCATTTTTTCTTTTGGCATATTTTTCTTCTGACCATCGCTTGCATTCTGTTGTATTCGATTCTGTCTCCACATTAATGTGTTCAGATATTCTTGATACAATTTTCTTTTCTGTGTTATTTCCTGCGAAATATCTTGATCCCACCAATATGATTATTGTTGTCCGATCTTTGCATATCGCCCTAGTGCTTCTAGGGCAGCGGCGTGTATACATTCTTTGATGGTTTTGTATAACTTATTAACATTCCTGGTATTATCTTTCGTTTCAATTAGTTTTTGTTCCAGTCTACGTTTATATAGGTTTGTAACACTTTCTTGGTGTAAACTATTCAAATTGTATCGTACTTCTTGTACTTTCTCCTTTGTATGGTTATTTTGCGGCGTTTTCTGTTCTCTTTTATGTGGAAATATATGAACGTAGGAGGTAGTGGTCACTGCCGCAAGTGGGTCCTCTACATGCTCTTACGTCTGTTGTTTTCAGTCAACTTTTTTGTTTGAGGATGACATATTTTAGTCCACGTATATTTATGAATGTTTCTATGTTGGATATATCCATTCATGATTCTGAGTCCATTCTGATCGCATAATATATTTATTTACCTTTCTCCGTTATTGTTCTTATTATCTTCTCCATATCTACCTACTACTTTATCGTTGATCTTTTTTCCGACTCTGCTGTTGAGGTCTACCAAGATTATTATTTCTCTTGTGTTACCCACCTTTGTGATTTCTTCATTCAGTTGTTCGAAAAAGTTATCTTTCACATTTACAAAAGCATCGTCATTAATTGCATATATTCCCAGAATGGTCACTCTGTATCCTTTGTAAATCGTGTCTGTAAATCGACATTCCACAGATCGTAAACCGCTAATATTAAGGGGAAGAACAGTATTCCACGTTGCATTGGTTCCGTCTTTTGCTATTACCTATTTTCTATTTCTGTTCACCAACTGAGAACCGATAAAGAGCGGTGCTCGACGTTCTGTTGGATTCCGGTAGAGTCTTTCTTGTGGGATTTTCTCGCAGTCGCACTCGCAAGTCGCAGGTGTATGAGAAGCTTTCCACAGATGGAAGCACAAAAGACCAAAACAACAAATAGTAGACTAAAGTAAAACCAGAGAGAGAAATAAAAAACCCCCCCAGATGGACAGAATTCAACAAAAAGCCCAGAGTGAGAAGAAACTTCAAATCATACCACACACACAAGGAAGACAGTTCGTAGCTCAAATCACCCAGAATATCGCTTATCGCCTCATACACAGTGGGCCCAGCAGCTCAACTAGGATACAGTCTGTATTGTGGTATCGTATAATATTTATATATTTTCTTTATTATAATATAGATTGTACACTAATTATGATTTTTTGTCCACAGGTCACCTACAAAAAAAAATTACAAAAAACACAAAAAACGGCTTCGGCTACCAAAAAAAATCAAAAAAATACTAAGAAAAAACCGGCTTCGGCCACCAAAAAAATTAACAAAAACCCAAAACCCGGGCACGTAGGGCCCAACCCCTTGAGCACCAAGTCGCCGAACTGAGCCGGGACTCAGAGCGGAGACTTGAGGCCCAAGTAAGCAATTTTAGTTCGCGGATAAGCCACATTAAGATAAACAGGAATATAGCGGAGATGCGCTGTCCTGAGTTTTTGCATTCGGTTAGGAAACCATGTTGGGGTTCTATTACCCAGGACCTCCACATGAAGAGCACTTGGCTGATTGTTGTGCCTCTATAGCGAATCAGATTGCTATAGGGGGAAAGGGATGGTCTAGAGCATTGGAGCACGGTGGGGTGACTCCTGTTTTTACTCGAGTTAACACACCTTGCTCCAATGAATTGTTACACCCGATCGTACTACCTGGGTGAACATTTCTCATAGGCTGAGTTCAATCAAATTGCTTGCTTGCTTGGTGTATGAGAATAAGGCACAAACCAAAGTGGCCCTCAAAGCTAACATAACCTATGTCATCGGTCAAATTCAGCCTGATTTATAGATTCATGGAAACGTTCCGGATATAAATATGATTTCTGATGACCGCCATGGTTGGCTCTGACGTAGTCTAATCTGGAGGTTCAATTTTCGATGACTTTTTCCAACAATTCTGGCCGTATATCGGCAATAATGTGGCGGATGTTGTCCTCCAAATGGTTCCAGGCTTATTGCCGTAGACTAGCGACTTCACATATACCCACAGAAAATATTATGGCGGTGTTAAATCGCACGATCTTGGAGAGCAATTCACGGGTCCTTAACGTGAAATTATGCATTTACCAAAAGTTTCCTTCAATTAATCACTTGTGACACGAGTTATGTGAGATGTTGCGCCATCTTGTCGAAACCACAGAATCTATACATCATGGTTGTACAATTTAGGTATGAAAAGTCAGTAATCATGCCTTTATAGCGGTCGCCATTGACTGTAACATTCTGACTAGCATCGTTTTTGAAGAAATAAGGACCAATGAATCCACTGAGTCCATAAATCAGACCAAACAGTCAGTTTATCTGAATGTAATGGTTTCTCAACATACACTTGAAGATTATCTTCACTCTAAATACGGCAGTTTTGTTTGTTGACTCCAAAATTTGACAATAAAAATTGGGATCAACGGCAATCTCGTTTTGGGCTCATTCACCGAATCTACGCCTTGCTAGGTAATCTTGTCGTTAAAGGTGGTGCAAAAACGTTATATGGCAATATTCCAATCGAAATAATTGCCCCAATGGATGATTATGTTAACTATAAAATGGACGTAGTACGCGAATGGTATTTCGAACAGAACCATGATTTTCAAAATAAATTTGCACAATTTAGAAGCGTTGTTCAGGCGTCAGTCTGGCGTCATACTAAAATGCCAAACCAAACTAAACATAAATCAGTTGATAACTGTCAAAATAGCTGCCAGTTAAAAAAGTATTGCGAGTTTAAAAACTTTTAACACCC